GGCGGGCAGAGCGCCGCCTCGGGTAGGGAAAAGGACGCGCGCGGAGAGCAGCCGAGAGCCTCCCCGCTCCGCAGCCCCGCCGGTAACACAAGCCACCGGGGGGCGGTGGGAAAAGCCGGAGCCCCCAGCGCCTGCTTCTGCGCCGAGAGCCAATCAAGTCGCCGTGTAAAAATCGCTCAGGATGAATCTCTTCTCTTCCATATTCAGCTATTTGTAAGTATTAAGGCTGGCTGTTTGCTGACTGATTTGGATTTCCCTTCCCCTCCCCGAAAAACAGTCTCCTCGATTTTCCATCTTTATTTCTGCTCCATTTCAATGGCAAAAGTCATCTCACCATCTACTTTGTTTTCCCCCCCACCCCCCCTTTTCCATTATTCTAGGCTACTGCACTTGTTTGCTTTCTGCTTGCAGGCACAGGTAAGGAATCGTTTTAATCCTTTCTAAATACTGTAGCTGCGATGCTTTTATTCTGATAGAGCCAAGCCTTTTTCTCTTTCCTCGCTTTTTTAAAAAAGTGATGCAGTAAAAGGAACCCTGATGATTAAGTGAGCAACCAAATGAAGGGAGTAAAGCATAAAATGCAAAATGTGAAAGCGTACATTGGGTTAAAGTAAGAGTAGATGTACGCTGAACCCCCAAATTGTACAGTGTTGAAGAATCCCCGGTAGGAAATTGGTGATGATTCATTTAAAACTTAGTGAACTGTTTCTCCAACCAATTTCCAGGATTAAATAGGAAGCACATTTCTTCCATTATTATGTTTTTTAAAAAATTTATACTTAAGAGGTATAAATTAATAATAGAAAAGACCTGAGTAATACTCTTGCTTCCTAGAAATTTGAAACCTCATTAACATATGGAACAACACAGTCTGATACTGTGGAATTTATAACCCTTTTGGTGCAGTATTGATTGCAAATCCAGAGAGTTAAAGCCAAATGCTTGCAGAAACATTCCCCTGCAAGAAAAAGAGAACAGGTGTAGGATTCTGAATTAAATTTGCAATGATTCCCTAATTCTATAAAGTTGAGTAATCAAACTGAATTCAGTGGGACTGAATGCAAAAGGGTGTATACTTACAGTGTTGTAAGATTTGGGGATATGAGATAGAAATCAGAGAGGTTTATGGTTAGCCACATGGTCTACTCATTAGAGCAGGCAAGGCAATCTAGAGATGTTATGGAAAGAAATGCCTATAGGAAACCCATATTGGGTATCTCTGTGTACACACGCAGGCACATACAACACACACAAAGGAAGAGAGATAAATTATCAAGGGAAGACTTTTATAAACTCTATCTTTCAGGAAGGGGTTGCTTCCCTGTTTCTTTGGAACAACTTTAGTAGCTGATATGGGGCTGAGGAGGGGTGGGGTGGGGGGCGGAAAGGCAGTGAGGAAAGAGGCTTTTTTCATGCACTACCACCCCATGAAGTTGAAAGGAACAAATCTCCTCAACATTTGCTCAGAATACATCTTTATAAATGTCAGGGGCAAACTCAAACCCTTCAGACTTAAAAGAGGAATTGGAGACATATTGCGGGTGGAAGAAGAGCAACGCAAGAGAGGAGAGAAACAGACGTGGGCTGGGGCAAAGCCACTGCAGGGTTGCAGTTGGAACTCAAATCATTCTCTCTATCGCTGAACCTACGGCTAACAGGCTCACGATAACTTTGAATGTGGGTGGGTGGGAGGGAAACCCACGGCATGTCTCTCTGTATGGAAGGGCTCGTAAATATTAGCAAGGAAGACCTTTCTGAACTGCCTTGGCTGCTGACACAACCGATCCCTGTTTAAGGGGATAAAATATAGCTCCCCCCATCCCCACCCCCATCCACTGGTCACTCTGGTCCAGGGTACAGAGCTGCTCTGAGCCCTGCAGGACAAAACCCTCAGACGGACCAGTTGAAATAGCTGGAAAGCCAATATCAAAGCAGTAGAAACAAGTCCAGGGATTGAAAGCCTTGAGATGATTTCCAGGCAAGCAGGATGCACTGTATTCTGCATGGTTGTATTTAAGCCACTCCAGGATTTATAGCGTCTTGCATGATGTGGTTATGAATGATGGGACACATTCGTTTTTATTTCTGTTTGCCCTGCTGAGTCTTCCTTGATTTTAAATGTCACAAACAGGATTGAGATTATGCCTGAAACAAGGCCACCACATTTGCAACCTAGTTTAAATCTGCATAAGTCTGGAGTCATCTCTTTGAAACCAAAGGCAAGCCATATTGGTATTCGATTCCAGTCCAGACTCATCTTTATTTCCTCTCTTGCATGCTTGTTTTCCAATGATAAACTCCTGGGCAGCACGCAATGTTTCAGTCACTGCTAGAATGCCGGGCGTTACTATATCAACCCATAAGACCCTTCACTCTGCCCTGCTTGGTGCCCTCTCCAAGTACACCAGGAGCACGCCAAGATAGCCTTTCTCAGAGGAGTAGAGATTATAATGGTGCGTTGTATATTTTTTAATTTCCTAAAGGTAACTGTTCAGTCCCCACCTAATTTTACACAGCATGTGAGGGAGCAGAGCCTGGTGACCGACCAACTAAGCCGGAGACTCGTCCGGACCTATCAGCTGTACAGTCGGACCAGTGGGAAGCACGTTCAAATCCTGGACAACAAGAAAATCAATGCCATGGCGGAGGATGGAGATGCTCATGGTAAGTCTGTATGTGTGGGCAGCAGCACTGGCGGGGGGGGGGGGGGGGGAGAGGACATGCATGCAGCCCAGTAATTGATGATTTCCGTCCCCTTTGTTTGCCAGAAATCATTACAAGCATTTGGAATGCAGAGAGCTTGTGACGGAAGAACGTGGGGATCAATATTTGCAATAACAGTATAACGCTTTCCCTTTGAGGATTGAGCCAGAGCTTCTGTGGAGAAGAGTGGGCTTGATTTTACACCCGATCACTGACCACTGAAATGGTGGGAAGAGTTGCAAATTTTAAGAAATATGACCATGGGGCTGTGGGAGAATAGGTGCCTTTTTGCAGTATAGCTCCAGCCTAACAGTGCAACGGAAATAAGGAAACTGGAAGATGTCCCCATTCTGTGATACTAGCCCCCAACTTTCTAGAATCACAGGCAGGTCTTGCCTTCAACTCAGGAAGGCTGTGCTGGGAAAATAAGCCTTTAGGATGCACGAAACATCTTTCCCAAAAAGAAAACTGTGTGAGAATATAGGATTGGTTTTAAAGTTTTAAGTGATACTTAGCTTTACAAATGGTCAGTTATATTCAGACAGATCATCAGAAATATACAACAAACCATACGCCTGTGTTCTGCTTTCTAACTTTTCTTATACTTATGAAACACTGTATAATGTTAAGTGAGATGATCCACAACTGCATTGCTTTCAATCTGTGGTCAGTAATGTAGATCCCAGTGCTGAATCTCTATATTTTTGTATTGTGATTACAATTATTGACCTCTCACATTAGCCACAATTTTCCTTTCTCATGTCAAAGCATTATCTGAGAATCATGCAGGTTTGCCTACATTTAGGCTGGCTGTAGATGTCATTAAAATCTTTAGCAGGCAGTGATAGTGAGGGCAGAGTTTGCATGTGTATCCAGGTATGCCTCTTAGCTTTTCAAGAAAACTTCCCAGCCATAACTGGAAATATATAGTTTGATTCTAAGTAAAGGAAAACTGAGTGCATCCCTTCCTTAAATATCATATAATTCTCTAAAAAGTTATTTAACATTTAAATAACAGCATTAAGACAGACTGGAATGAATGACTTGCAAAAGAAAATATTTCTATTAAAAATGGTTAAGCATTTGAAGCATAAGAAGCAAACTCAGCAGTGATCTAAAAAGAAAGAGAACACAAGCAGTTTTTCAGATGTAAGGTTTTAGGAGAGTTGCAAGTCTGTAAATGTTAAAATAGAGGTTCAGGATTGTTCTATATGAATCTCTGGAGAGACCCCCATGTCTGGAAGAGCTATTAAAACTCTTCTTACTTTCACCTTTTTAAACATTTCCTGAATACTTTCTCCTCTTCGCAGTCCAGTTAGGGGATCAAGTGTGCCTCGCTGCATTTTTTCTGCATTTACGTAGCCGCTTTCCCTTCAAAGTTTGAGCATGAAACATAATTTTACTGGGATAAATCTGTCACTGAAGGGAAAGAATAGAGTTAGAAATGTTAAGCTTTCACCCCATCACCAACAAAATCAACTTTTCACACCCTTCACACCTTATATTAAACATACCTCAAATTGTTTTGTTTTGCTTTTTAGTTATTGTTTGGCTTTTCTTTCTTTCTTTCTTTCTTTCTTTCTTTCTTTCTTTCTTTCTTTCTTTCTTTCTTTCTTTCTTTCTTTCTTTCTTTCTTGTGATTTATTTCCACCAATGGCCATTTTCTCTGCTGTGACATTTTAACGGCTGACTTAATGTCAGGTCCATTTTTCTTGGTTATCTGTCTTGATTGTCAATATCTGACTCAGTTTTCTAATTAGGAGTGAAGCCCATGGATCTTAAAGCTTGGTCTACTTCTGTCTCTGCAATCTGACTTTGAATCACTATATCATTATGAGAGGAAGTAGTTTTAGAAGTGAATGATAATTGTTGCATTTATTTCAGGTTGTGTCTCTTAGGGGACTTTGCATCTTCAGAGGGGCTACCTATATAATTTTTATTATTATTTTAGGGTTGGGATGGGCATTCTGATGGTTTGCTTTCTTGCAGGCAGGTTATCTTTAGCTCTTTGGAATTTTCTGCTCTGCTTTCAATCTGTATCTCTTTGCCAAAGCAGAGTTTCAAACCAGTTGCGTTTGTCAGGCAAGCAGCAATTCAGTGTTGGAGGGTTTGTCCCTAAAGAGGCTCGTGTGGTAAAGCTGACCAACAGGCAATAAATCAGAAAAAGGCCTTTGAAAAGGTAGAAGAGAAAAAAGCATGTGGTTTTTCTGCCTGTGTTTGGAGCTGCTTTTCTATGCCTTTCCACCAGTCAGCAGAGGAAGAGCATGAAAACTGATGCTCTTTAAATGTTAACTGCTCTCTTGATCGACCTCCCTTACTTGTGTCCCCCAAAGACAGATAAATAAGGGAACCTTGTCTATGCAGCTCAATGAAAAGGAGTCAGGGGTCCAATTGTCCTTGGGCAAGGAGGAGGTTACAGATGTTAATATTTTATAGGCAAAAGAAGCAATAAAGTTAAATGGCTTATAATAGGTTGGAAAAAGAAGTGATGTGATGCTGGAATTTAGCATTTTTCAACCTGGGGATTATGGTTGGTGAAGTCCAAAGCTAGTTTGGAAAAGGCTACAGTATTGTAATCCATATACAGCTCAACATGCACCCAGGGAAAAGAACCGGTCTTACGCAGTTTCAAGTAGCAAGAGTTGAGAGAGAGAGAGAGAGATGTGAGGGTGAGGGTGATGACATCAGGTTAGATGGCTTCAAAAAGGGATTCATCAGGTTTATGGAAAAATTGGCTATCCATCTCAGTGGTTGAATTGGTGCCATGCAGAAAATGCCCTGAATGTTTCTACTAGTAGCATCTTCTACCATTTCCAGTAAGAATTTAGTTCAAAAAATATAGTTTCTTTTGAAAGAAGTTCTCAAGGATCTGGAGAATGAAGTAGAAAAACAGAAGACTCTTCTAAAGGAAAAGAAAGCTGCTGAGAAATTTCAAGGTAGCTGTTTCTGCATTATTATTAAATATTACATTATTGGGCAGAGTATTCTCTAAATACCATGGTACAAGAATGGGATGCTATTGTACTCATGTCTTACCACTATGGGAAATGGGGTTCTGTCCTAGACAGACTTTTGATCAGACCCAGCAGTAATTGTGCTATGTTTTTATTAGAATAAAAATAGAATAATGTGTCTTCATTATGGAACAGACTATATTTCTGCAGGAAAGCATGTGGATCTCTTGGATAGGGAAAGCTAACATCAGGACCATAGGTTGGTTGGAACCCTAAAGGGATTCCCTACTTGGCCAGTTTTGTGCTTCCTCCTGGTGGTGGGGAAGGCTATTAAAGAGTTTAATAGTGGTATTTGGAAGATTTTGGAGGGGAGTCATTGATGGAGGAAACAGGTAATCTTCTCTTTTCTGTTCTTTTAACCCTATTGAAAAACTGCTCCCTGCACAAAGTAATTAGATCTTATAGTAGCCGCCATCATTCCATGGATGGTGTCCTCATCCAAAAAAGAGACCATTCCTATATTAAAAGCATTTTCACACTGGTGACTTGTAGCATCTTCTAACATCACCCAGCCACCTCATTATCTCTCTTCTGGCCCCACAATAGTTGGATGACTCTAGAAGATGTAGCAAGTTCCTAGTGGGGATCTGGAGAAAGTTCAGTCCGGCCCACAAACTTTGCTTTATAAAAGACGTGGTCTATTTTGTCACTGGAATCACAGTTTCACTTTGGCTGTTGAGAGTCACAGGGTATGGTTATTATGACGATGCATTGATTGTACCAGGGAAGAAGAGAATTCTTCTCATTTTGGAGAGTCTGTATTTTTAAAATATTTTTAAAATAAAACAATATCTCCTCAAGGTGGACTTGATACACCAATTACTTTACTTGGACTGTTATTTGGCAGTTCTGAGATGATTTTTTTTTTTTTTAATACCAATACTTTAATGGCCAAGTATAAAACATACACAAGGAATTTATCTTCGGTGATAA